ATGTGGGTTCACAGCAAAAAACTGAAGAAGCAAAACAGCTCTTAAGGGAAGAGAAAAAGGGCCTGAAAGCGGAGAAGGTGCAAGCACAGAGGTGGAGAGCAGCATCCTGCCATCCATCGTGCTGTGGAGCCAGCGGCTCCTTTGTTCGTGGTCTCTGTGCCTGTGTGCTCAAGCTATGGTACAGCTCTAGTAGACCATCTACAAGCCTATAAAACCGGCTGCTTCCAGCACTGTCAGTGGTCCTGGTGTGCTCACCGCTGTTGTCCACAGCGCTTTATTGTTTCCTACTCTGGTGGTTGCTCTCTGATGACAGACAGGCCCAGGGAAGAGAATGGTTATTTAAACATATCAATGTTTATATAGTAAACAAAATAGGTGACAGGAACATGTGGCAATTTTAAAAAATTTGTATGAAATTGACTTGATTCCCTGCTTTCTGGGTTTTTTGCTTGAAATCAGGTAGTTGTTACTGATCTTCTGCAGTGTGGGGAGCCCCAACTTTTCAAGTTGGTCTGGCCCTCTGCCTCTGTCATGACAATAAAACACAAACTAACTTCCTGCCTTGGTAGCTCCAGTTTTGCTCCTTTTCCTGAGAAGATGAACGCTTCCATGATTTTTTTTTTTTTTCCATGCATGCTCACAGAGTTGGAAAGCTTTTGCTGTGTGTATCTTGCATGGAGGAGTCGGGTACCAGGTGACACAGCAGGGCAGAAAGGAAGCACGGAGATGCTTACCCGGCTCTGCCTAGTCCTGTGGCAGGACAGGGCTCCCTGCTGGGGTCCCAGTCAGCCACACCATCAGCTCCTCGGCTGTGTCTCTTCCACAGCCATCGCCAGGAAAGGCTTTTCTCAGGCGGCTCTTTCTGGCCACCGCAACATGGAAAGCGGGCAAAGCTGTCCTGTCCATTTTGGCCTTTTTCTGTGAACCTTCAGTAACCTCTGAGCCCATCAGTGGATTTTTCTTTGGGTTTACCATTTAAGGGCTTTCTTCCATCTTTGTAAGTTTAAACAAAAATGTGAAAGTGACATTATGCTTGATCTTGGGGGTTTTGTCCCTTGTTAAGGTTTCAGTACTGGTTTTGTTGCCAGACATGCTGCAAATGGTAACAACAGTCACCCATTTGCAAGTGTTTTGTGGACACTCAGAAACGGGGTTGTATGATTTACTTTTTGGTTTCATTGAGCAGGCTTTTTTTTTTTTTTTTAATTGAAGTATTTTACTTAACTGTTGCCACTTCCTGGAGCCAAACACTAAAGGTCACCAAATTGGAAGCAGAAGTGCCATTAACTGAACTCTGTGAATGTCAAGTCAAGTTGCGCCTGTAGCTGGCACATAAGACAACACTATTCAGTGGGGGGATGATCTTTCCCACTGTAACTACTTTTTTTTTTAAAAAAAAAAAAGAAAAAATTACAAACCTCATTTTCAGTGTATTGTGTAAAATGTTTTGGGAAAGGAGTATGGTGTGTTATGTCTAGTGGGTGAGACCTCCCTCCCCATTTCAGTTTCTGATGAAGTTTTAAAGAATCGTGTTACTGTATGTTTTGATCATGAATAGTCTGGTGGTGCTTCCTCATAGCACAAGCTTAAATCAAGTACTGAAAACAGTCTTACAAGCTAAATGTCTGCATGATGTTACATCTGTTGTACCTACTGAAGAGAACTTTGTATGTAAATGTACAGAATAAAATGACGTTGTCCCATCAGTTTGCTTTCCTTGGTCTGGCTCCCTTGCAGTGACTTCTGAAACAGCCTGGCAGCAGCTAATGTCAGTGATGCCTCAGCAATCACAGAATCGTCTAGGTTGGAAAAGACCTTGAAGATCATCTTGTCCAACCATTAACCTAGCACTGACAGTTCCCAACTGCACCATATCTCTAAGCGCTATGTTGACCCTACTTTTAAACAGTCCTACTCCCCTCTACAGAGTGAAATGATTGTAAATCAGGCTAATTAAATCAGCACATTGATTTGCAACTAATTATTCTTTATATTCAGTCACAGAAGAATAGTTGACTCTGTTTCTTAGCTGGTGTAAATTAAAAATAAAATACCCTCCAACAGTTGCTTTTTGCTATTGTGGTCCTGAACTGTGGCCAAGGACTGACACTTGTTCCTACCAAGTAAGGAAGGGTCCTCTGCACCTGCATCAGATCTCAGCATTGAAGCCACAGGGTGTTCAAACCCATCTGGAGAAGTCTCAGGAGTTCTGCCTTCTAGATCAGCCACCTCTCAGTTACAGGCTTTACTTGCCAATTATGGCACCACAGCAAGGTAAGTTCATTAGTTTTCTGTAGGTTGTTAAGACAGCTGTCTAGCAGCAGCTCTAGTGGTTTGTATTGGAAGCTTATGTCTGAGTCAGGGCTCAACTCACAATGAAAAATAACCTGGATTTGCTCATCAGGGTGCTACACTCAGTGTTCCTCCAGATGGCTGTGAATAATGGGGGATGTGCCACAGCATGTATTGACAGCTGCAAACAGCCACTGCACCACTGGCTCTGTGGCTGATCTGGAGTTTTTGGTATAGTTAACTTTTAGCTGCCCTTCTCATTGAACAAAATAGCCCATGGATCTGCCTTTGCAAGGATATCCATCCTACCTAAAAGCAAGTCAAGAGCTGTAGCAGCAGGATGCTTTGCAGCAGTGGTGGTAGCGACTGCTTTGATTTTTCTAGTGAGTATGCTCAATTTACACACATGATGCTTTTCTAGCAGCCTGGCAGATTTATCTATTGCTCTGAAATTCAAGCT